AACAGACAAATTGCACTAATATACAACTTGTGAATGATTCCAGACTTTTCCAGATTTAGAATCCGCTTACAGCTACTGCTAACACGACTCCTGTTACACTACTACTAGTACTACTACCACTACCACTCCTACTACCACTACTACTACTAGTACTACTTCCACTTCCACTACTACAACTACTACTACTACTAGTACTACTTCCACTTCCACTACTACAACTACTACTACTACTACTTTCACTACTGCTACATTACAACTAGTACTACAACTACTACAACTAGTACTCCTATGACCACTTCTACTACTATGGGAAAAAGTACTACTACCACTACCATTCCTATTACCACTACTACAAATACTACTGGTACAACTACCACTACTACTACTTCTACATCTATGACCACTACTACAACTACTAATTCTATTTCTGCAGGCAGCACGATGGCGTAGTGGTTATAGCGAGCAGGTTCTGGGTTCGATTCCACTTCCAGGCCTGTCTGTGTGGAGTTTGCTCAATCTCCCCATGTCTGTGTAGGTTTCCTCCAGGTGCTACGGGTAGGTTTGGTCATGGCAGGTTCGCCTCCTGTAGGCGACTCCCGCTCCCATCTCTGTGTGGAGTGAGAGGACAAATGCCCATAATAATTGTAAAGCGCTTCGTGATTCTGGTCTGTCAAAGGTGCTTTATAAATAATGATTATTTACTTAATTCTAATACAACGTCCATAACAACAACAACAACATGATAAAATAGGAGTTAATATATACTTGAATTTGGTTTGTCCCATTGGCAAATCTTGTTTTAAGGCAGTCGAAATGTACTTAAATTAAGATACGTTTTGCCAAATTTAAGAAATATTTCACTTATTTTTCATCGCTTTTTCCAGTGTAGGCCTATATATGTCTGTGGAGGATACAGTTCCTGGGCTAACTCAGCCTCTGGTTCTATTCATGCAATTATTTCCAAGCATTGTCTATCATTTCTGGGTTAACTAAAGCAACATGATTTTGTCCAGACTTGTACTTTGACATGTTATTTAAGTATACACACAGATCGACTCCAGCAGGGTGAGTTCAGGACACCCACCCATTCTCTTTTGTTTCTCCTCGAGCCAAACTTTCATAAACCAACATACATTCATCTCCATAATGTCTGGAAAGGAATTGTTTGACATTGTTTGCACCGAAAGTGCCCAGGTGCACAATGAAACCTCTGGTCTCCAATGGACCAGATGTGAGCTTGTTGAGTGGGAAACTACAGATTCAATGGTATAGTTGTTTTACTGAGAAAATCAACAAAAAATGCTGCAAGTTATTGAAAGAAATGATAATTGAAAATAATTTCAGGGGCCACTAAAAATGGTCTTCCGGACAATTTTGGCCAACGGGAGTGAGTTTGACATGCCTTTTACTATCAAATGTTCAAGGTATAGAGTAGAGGAGAGATAGAAATCCCAAAATATCAGTGAATATGGGATTTTATTTACATTTGACCAAGACATGATTTATGGTTGGTTGGTTGGCTGTTGGATTAAAATACTCCACAAAAACATTTAATTTTTATTCTGCAGACTTAATAGGATTAAAGCCTCGTCTCAGAATGTATAACTCTATGTACGTTACAAAAAAAAAACAATTCATTGATCACTAAAACGGTTGACGATGGATTAACTTAATTCTGTCCTATTTCAAATCAAAAGCACAAATCCAATCCAACTCTTTTAGCACAGTGTTTTTTGGAGCGTCGTTTGGGGACAACAAGCTGGAGCCGGCCCTGGGAGAGCTCTTCCGATATTCCCACATTTGTATTCATGCCAGTGTATTTTGCGTTGCCTCTTGTGCGGATCACACTGTCCTCACCCGCACCCTTCACGCTTTAGCGGAGTCGGGCTAAACACAGCCTTGGCACCCGCTTCTGGCACAAAGAGGAGCCAATCTGCAGCGCACTGGTCCGAACAGATGTCGGGGCAGATTTAGCGATTTTGGAAGGTAGGTACAAAATATTTCTCATTGGCACAGCGCTGGCACGAGGCTTTGGCGAAGTAACTGGGAACACCTGTTTGGGCTGAGGGAGGAATGTGCCTGCAGAGGAACATTGGCCAGGTTAGACTGACGCTGAGGCTGGCAGGGTCTTTGTGGAGAGCATAAAGAAAAATAACAACAAGGTGTAAGGACAGTTTTGTTTACTTGGCCGGTATTAAGGGAAGCAGATCCTGACTGGGGGGGAGCGTGAAGCAGTGCTGCCACCCACTGCTGCGGCTGGAACATGACGCCTTATGCAATGGGTTGTTCAACTGCATGTGGTCTTAACAACAGCTTATTATGTTTGACCAGAAATGCACTTCGTAAGGTGCCAAATCACCTGCGGGATTCTGTGATGAGATTTTAGTTTCATGTCATACGGACAGAAACACAAGAAACCATACATTTAAGATCACTCATGGTAAGAATGCAGGTAATGTAACAGATTTATTTACTAAACATGTAATTGGTATTAAAATAATTGGTGTACATCACTTCCTCAGTGTCCATCATTTTGCTCACCACCAATCACATGTTGCTATTGCTACGTACAGCCGCAGATCCTCAACTGATAGGTTTTTATTTTAAAAATATTTTCTTGCATTTGTGTTTTGTTTACATCGGTTTTGCTGTAACTGCCACCTTTGAAATCTTAAAGACCTCCTTGAAAACGAGATGATTAATATCAAGGGGCTTGTCCTCTAAATAAATAAATACATTGGTCTACTTATGTAGCCGTTAGAAGCTAAAGCTGGTACTTTGAGATTTTGGCAAAATAAAAACAGCAACAGCGAAAAGTGCGGGTGAGGTGTGAAAAATAGTGGAGGAATGACGTAACACTCGAGTGGTCCTGTCGAAAACCTAATTTTTATAGGGAGCCAAGACCTTTGAAAAATTTGCCCTAATACCTTCAATACCCTCAAGTTCTATGTTCATTATTTTACATGGTCTTCTACAAACAGCTTTTGCTGTGCATAGAGCTGCTCTCCTCTAAAAAAAACAGAAATGTTGCATATTCAAAATACCAAAAGTAATGTTTTTTGTTGTCTTTAGCGTCAGTCAAAAAGTTCTTAGTTTGGTTATGCCAACGTGTTCCAACATGATGTTTTCATCAGGGCTTGTGAGAAATGCCCAGGTGCATGACCACCTATTTTACCACCTAAATTACCAAGCCATATGGGGATCCTAAGTTGAAGAATTGGAACCCAGGACATTCTGGCTGTGAGGTAAGAAACCCCACAGGCCATAATGACATCAATGTGAGCAGAAAAGAGCTTATTTAAGCCACTCGGAACGTGGCACGCAGGTGCGACTTCTGGGCCGGATGGATCCACGGTTTTTAAGCTGTTTATGCCAAATTCTGCACCTACAGCCTAAAGCGGCCATCAAATATTAGAAGTGAGGCTTATTTTATAAGTGTAGGTATAGTGCGGAACTTGGTGAATACCAGTAATTATTTGTTGATGGTATATTGCTTGTGTTTAATGTTTTCTAATGGGAAACAGGGCTCAGACTTACATTATTATGACCCGGGAGGACAACTCAACAGTGACTAAGAGGGCATCCACAAAGCCAGCCAAAACAAGGATGGGGTTTTGTGTTCTCATCCTGCCAATTACTAAGGACAGACAAAACAACTGGGACTAGTCTAGTGATGAGTACATCAGAGTCATCAAATGTCTTTATACAAATACTGCACAAATATAGACACCAAAACTCTGACATTCATGGTTTCAATTCAAGGCAGAAATTTCAGTCTACGACTTAAAGAAGAAATATTATGCATATTTTTGGCCATTGAACATAAACATTAGACCATTTTGTTTGTCATGTTATGTTTCAGAATGTGAAATAATATACACAAGAAACAAGGTCAAGGGTAAACAATACTTTTGGCCGGCCTTAACCCAATCCTACCACTAGGGGGAGAGGTGAACTTGAAAATAACGGCCGCAAACAAAGAACATAATTTCACTTGAGAAAAAATAATTACGGGGAACAGCTTAGTTTGAAGCGGCAGGAACAAAATGAAAAGACTCACAATTAGCCCTTTACCAAGTAGTTTTGTGAAAGCCTGATCTATTTCAGTGCCATACAAATACATTTTCCCCACCTTCTTGAGCAATTCCTTTAAAATGTAGAGCCAACAACAAAACATGTTAAAGATAATAGCTAGATGAATGCAATTTTCAAATGGAGATATCTGTTTTTGCAAATGAAGTTTTAGTATATCAATCAATTTGAATGCTTGAATGCATACTATATGTTTTCATTGATTTTATGTAATTTTATTGTAAAGCATTTTGGTCGCCTTGAACAGGCTCTATGGAGAAAAAAAAAAGATTGATTGATGTATAAATTATAACAAATCTATTTTTATACAGGTTAAAATTAGATACAGCCGGAGTTACTTCATTTAGAAGCAAGCATTTTAATAACATTTATTGCACATCCTTGAAAACAACAACACAAGCAATAAAGAATTTGCAATATTAAAAAATCTACACTTTTCTGATAACCATTGCTTTAAAAATGGCCTGCTTTCTTATGAACACAATTATGAACGTCTTATTTATTTACACATAGACGACAAAACTACTAAAAGCAATGACAAACAACAAAAGCCGTCCCAATATCAGTACTTTTTTGCCAGATTCATTCACATTTCAAAATCCCAACATGTGGTAAATACAAAGCGCTAAGCTGCACAATATGCAATACATTATTTTATACCAGAAAAATACAATGGGATGTTTGTGTGAGAGAATTTGACCGTATAAGCTGTCGTGTAGTAGAAATGCAATGTAGATACAGTTGATAGTAGCCGCACGGACACCACATCGAGTCCAAACGTGTGTGAGAAAAATATGAGAAAAGACAGAGTTGCATGGATATGATTATTATGCCATAAGAATATCCAATGCAGATGAATGGGCAGCTGTTAAAGCATGTGTGGCAGCAGCAGCAGCAGCAGTACTTACCGGAGTATCTACATGCTTTAAAGACAACTGCGGAGTGGGAGGCTGGAGAGAGAAAGAGGAGAGAGCCAGACAGAGCACGGTTAGTCATTGTTTCTGTCGCACCATCGGGAGGAAGAAACAACACCAGGAGTGAGGGAAAATAGGAGGAGAGGGGACAGAGTTAAGAGTTTTCCTTTTTTTTTTCTCATTCATTTTGTTTGTATCTTGGACATGGACATTAGGTAAATAAGGTGAATGACACAGCTTTCCAGGTGGAGGTTCTGCTTTTGGCTCATGTTGTTTAGCGCGTGGGGAATATGACCTGCATATGTCGTACTGTGGACCTCTGTTATATCTGTATCAGAATCATTTTTTATAGCCATGCAAGTATCAGGAAGACCCAGACTTGGATATTGCTTCGGCTCGGTGCAACAGTCAGAAAAGAGAGGTAAAAAATAGAGTAAGGCATAATAAAAATCTGCATATTATTACCGCTAAAACATTATTATCTGGAGATATTTGTTCCAACCATAGACTATATATATTAACGGATATAGTCACGCTTATCTCGGCCGTTCTAACTAATGGGCCAAAAATTGGGCTTTCATGCAGTGATTCAAAATGGCCGCGGGGGCTGGAAAATGTGAAAAAACTCATCTGCGCATGCGTCAGCTTTTGGACCATCCTGCAAAGACGTTTTCGAGAGGTAAGAAGATGCTATATGTTAGCATTGGCTAATTCTTATTCCGGGTCTACCCCTATCGGCCCGGGGTGGTATTGCAAGCATGTCAGCGCACGTCATTTTGGCCACTTTTGAGCCGGCCCCCACTGGTTCCGACCCACATTGTTACTACAGTATCTATATCTCAATCGTCGACGTCATCAATATCTCAAGTGATTACGTCGCTGTTCTTATGCACGTTGATACAAATCATAGAAACATCTGGTCTCCCCTTTTTCAATCTGGAAGGACTTGAAAATATCCCAGGTTAACGGTGCGATCGCTGCCGCCTTGTCCTAACACTGCAGTTAAGCATTACATCGTGCATGAAGGCATATGCGCAGAGAGGAGAAGGGTGATTCATCAAGTTAATCTAATAAATCATTTTGTTGCCTGATTGTAGATTTTTTATTTTTATGAATGACTTATTCTACTTTTACTTGTATAAATTGTTTACACAGATGACAAAGCAATTTTCTAGTGTGTTACTTCCTGTTCCTCACAATAGCAATAAAACTCATTCTGATTCAGATAAAGGGTTAATTTGTGTATCTAATATGAGAAATATATGAATTATGAAAAACTGACAAAATTCTTGTTTGACAGACATGTTTCTGCGTTGTTACTGTGGTCTGATTTAGCATGCATGATATTGCTATATTTTAACCTTTTCTTAAACATGAATCTTGTTATTTCAAATGTTCAACTAACAATGTACAACAGTTAACAGATTCCTCAAAGATAATGATCCATAGAATACTAGATTATTAAAATAATTGTTAACTGCAGCCTTAGTGGAGAGCCAACCTGATGTAATAATAAGAATAGAGGGACACATTTTCAGTCAAAAATTAAAACAAAATCTCCAAAATCCGAAGTTGATCCGGATCAATTCCAAAATGTATTTATTTTTTGTTCCTTGTCCCTTTTTCAAGATATACATTTTTGAGTTTTCTTACTAACAAACTAACTACAGCTAACAAACCCTGATGTTAACATACTCCCCTGGCAGTGGACATTGTGTGTGTGTCTGTGTGGGTGTGTGTGTGTATGTGTGTGTGTGTGTGTGTGTGTGTGTGTGTGTGTGTGTGTGTGTGTGTGTCTGTGTGGGTGTGTGTGTGTTGTGTGTGTGTGTGTGTGTGTGTGTGTGTGTGTGTGTGTGTGTGTGTGTATGTGTGTGTGTATTTTAAATCACAGAGAACATTCCAGGCACAGAAACAACATCTCCATGGCAACAAGCAGAGGCAGACCTCTTCAGGAAAGGTGTGCACTGCACCTTTAAACCAATGATGCAGATTAATGTATCCAATTTGTACAAAAGCAATCATGGAAAAAACACAGAGAGATATCTACACTTTTATTATATTATTTAATTATATACGCTTCATAGTCCAGGGCTCATACTGCTTTTTCTGAATTCAAAAAACAGTATCCTTTTTCAATTTGCATACTATATTTAGCAGCACCGACATAACTTTCTGATTGTCGGGCCCGCTTTCCAAAACATGACCTTCTGCCGGACACTCTGTTTGCTCCAGAGAGTAGCTTTAGCGACAGATTTATTCACCCTCGCTGTGTGAAGGACAGGCTCCACAGGTCTTTCCTTCCTGCTGCTGTCAGACTGTACAATGAGAACTGCTGAGCCTGAACATCATCTCATCTGTAAACAGTAAATACTGCAATCATACCTGCCCTATATGCATTTACACTATATACAGTATAGATGTATTTATATTGAAGCATTTACTGATAGCTAAGAAAAATAGCAGCTACTTAAGAGTGTATATTTCTCTTTTCCTCTTATCTTATGACATTTCAAAGATGAGGAGGGTTTTACTATATAACACGGTTAAATTATGAGGGAAAAAATGGAGGTTAGGGAGTAAGAGGAAGCAGTAAGCTAGGACGCTCTCTTTAAAAGTCCGATGAGCAAACACGCAGAGGGGAGAGGAGCCGTAAAGGGTGACAGTGATGCATGTGGAGGAGATTCTCACTAAACAAACAGGGCCAGAGCACAGACAGAGACTACACGGCAGGACTGGGAGGAATTGACCTTATATGGGCATCTCTCATGATCCCCGAGCCACAGAATACATTACATACATTAAGAGTTTTAAAGTTATAACCCATCATCTAACAGTGGGATGGTATAATGAGAACGTTTGATTGGATTGAAAAATAGTGTACCAGTTTAAACAAAGCACATTAATTATGTTTTTGCTGATTGATTTCACAGAGCACTGCAGAAAATGATAAAATATGAAATAAATAAATGCTGGAATATATTGTTTTTTCTTAATAGGAGTACATTCTGACGGTCTTAAAACAAGATTTACCAATGGGATTCTGCCTTGAAAATCCTGTTTCAAGGCAGTCAAAATATGCTCACATTAAGATACATTTAGCCAAATTTGAGAATCAGTTTTTTGCAGTGTGTTAATTGTTTCCTGTACTTTTTTACTTGTTTTATTTCTATCCTTGTCTGGTGAACTCTGGGGGGACTTCAGAAAATGTATTCAAATGGGATTTTACTGGAAATGGCAAATAAAATGTATCTGAATCTATGATAGAATGAAATTTAGGTAAGAAAACTGTCTGGATTTGAACATGGACATGTAGCTTCCAGTTGGGAGAAGTAGACAGGGGCGGGAGACAGATCTGAGGATGGTTCATTTCACTTAAACTCTGTGGCTCCTCCTTTGAACAGAGCAGCTGTGAATCCTCCATTTAAACAGAACAGAAGGATTCAGGACCACTTGTAGCGGCAGAAACTACTTCTGATCAAGCCTACGCATACCGAATGGACTATCGCTCAAAAGTCCATTCACTTCTGTAATTAAACCTAAATTATGAAACTAATATACGAGCAGCTTTTTACTTGCAAGGTGAGGCAGCTTGTAAAACCTCAAAACATCTCAGAAAATTAGAATATTTAGAAAAATGTCAAGAAAAAAAGTCCTGGCATATGTCACTTTGCATGTAATGAGTCTATTTTATATATAAACCTGCACTGATATTGCCACTCTCTTTTATTGTACATATCCTGCACAGTTGCACACTTTTGTCTTTTGCACAATCTGAGTGATTCTTTCCATGCCAAAGGTGACACGTACATTTCTCCAGCGTGAGATCAATAGATAGATAGATACTATAGATAACTTTATTTTCAGATCAATAAAGTCTATCTTATCTTATCTAATATTGGTTTCACATAAGTTTTGAAATTTCTCCATTGTGGGACGATTAAAGGGTTTTCGTATCTTAAGGGTATTAAGGAGGATTTTCCCATTTTTTTTTCTTATTTGAAAAATCCTCCTTTCTACCTCCTTTAAGCTGAATTACAGAAATAAATGAACAACATTTTAAGGCCACCAATATATTACTATTGTTACAACTTTTATAATTATGTATTTATCTGTTTGTTTGGATGGATGTGTTTCTCTGAATTGCTTGAAGGAATTTCTCCGACGGGGATCAATAAAGGGATCCTAAATCATATAATAATTGTTTTGCAGAGGATATTACTTTGCTTGGTCTAACGTAGCCGCCTAAAACTAGCTTATTCTACCAAATTCACTACATACAAATCTTATCAGACCCTAAGCAAATTTGTTCATCATATTTATTTGTATGTATGCCAAGAAAAATAAGAAAATAATGGTAAATGATGGTCCTAAATACATTTATACTTGGACTTGTTTCTGTCTACTTCTCCAAACCGATCTGATAATTCCCACTTGAAACCACACTGAAGGTCGGACTATGACAGTGAGGAGGCCACGGGTCAGAGACAAGACAGTATCGTCATGAGGTGCAGTATTCCACAGAGGAAACAGAGATGGATCTGATGGCGCTGACCCTCGACCTCCACCGTGACCCTCTGTCTATCAATTTGTTAGGTTCAAGTTCCAGGAAGTGCTTTGGGGTCTGGAGGAGGTCAAGCGGTCACCAGAGCCTCAAGCATGCATGTACTCACCAGCTCATAGTTGGTGCTCGTCTGACATGATGTGGTCACCTGGAAGCACACAGAGAAAGCACAGAGTTAGTTGGACATGTTCTAGTAAGGCATGAAGTATAGTAAGTAAGTAAGTAATGTTTATTTATATAGCGCATTTTACAGACCAATGTCACCAGCGCTTTACAATGTTCAGATATTGTTCCAATCACTCCACACACGGTGATGACAGAAGCGAGTCGCCAAACACACTGGACCATCAGCCCCCAATAAACACCATCCATTCACTCTCTCATTTACATTCATACCTATTATATATCAAATAATAATGCATCGGTTTTATAGAGCGCTTTTTCGGACACTCAAAGATGCTTTACTCCGTACATGGTGGTGATAAACTACTACTGTAGCCACAGCTGCCCTGGGGCACACTGACAGAAGCGAGGCAACCAGTATGTGTCATCGGCCCCTCTGACCACCACCAACCATTCACACACACACACACCAGACTCTTTCTAGGCAATGGGGGTAAAGTGTCTTGCTTAAGGACACAACAGCTGTTTGGCACTTTACAGCCGCAGCCGCCAGACTGTCACATCAGGTGTTCCCAGAGGTTAAGTGTCTTGCCTGAGGACACAACGACAGCAGACAGTGGGAGTCGATGGTGAAAGTCTTGAGGTGGGCTCGAACCCACGACCTTCAGGCTCAAAGGCCAATGCTCTACCGACTGAGCTACTGTTGCCCCTTTCAAGATGGTGAAAGGATTGGGGCCATGATCACAAAACGTATTTTTAGCTTTTTCAGTTCAATTCTTGTATAGCCTTAAAGGTATATAGGAGGATTTTCTACTTCCCTGTGGATCAAGACTACTGGCCCTCACAAATGTCAATCATTCTGGTGATCCGGGCTCGTCAAATAAGACCACCGAGTTTTGTTTAAAAAAGTGGAGAGGGCGGTTCTTTCCTAAAATGTGGAAAAATCCTGCAATACACATACCTTTAAATCTAAATTCAGAGGACTAAACAAAACCGTCGAATTCACCAACACAGATCAGGGAATCAAACAGTTCAAACACAAGAAATGCAATGATAAAAATAAAAAAAAAACACACATAAAGCCATTGGTCCGTAAGAGGCAAAATGACCAATGTAAAACTTATCATTTAAATTTATTAAAGTATGTAAATGATGTTCATGGGTTGGGAGTCCATGTTTTTCTTCTTTCCCACTCCATTTTGAGATGACAAAATGTAAATAGAAATACATTTTAAATATAATGTATATTGAAATTGTAATTATACCAACTTATGGTAAAACTAGGGTTAGCAAAGTGTATGTATATACTGTAAGCACAGAAGGCAACATAAAAATACTTATGAATGTATAATTTAGGCTCGAATGAATAAATCAATAATCAAAGTAATGACCATGACTTTGCACTTCTTCAAATATTGCATATTTTGTGTGTGGGAAAAAATCCAAATGGAAAAACAACATTCTCTTGAAGACGAACCCTTGGGGATTTAAAGCTTGGTCAGATGTGTTCAAAGCCCGCTGACTTGTTTGGAGCGGTCATATGATAATGTAAGCTGTGGACTGGGTCACATGTGGCACTGGGCCCATGATGCCTTCACTGACCGTGTGCAGACCCCATCTGTCCTCACTGTGAGGGATTAGGTCAAGTTCCTGACCCTGAGCAAAATGCCACAAACAAGATTTTCCAATGAAAGCAACGAAACAATTGTGAAATCAAACTAATGGAACAGACTAAGGTGACTTCTATTCCTTCCACCACAAACATGTGTTCATACAGTTACCACGATAAGAACGCTGATTATTATCATTATTAAGATATTTAGGCAAGCCAACAGAAATGTGTCATCAGACAAAACAGAAAATACATAAATATCTCATTACATCTTCAATTCAATTCAATGTATGTTTGTATAGCTCTAGGCCTAACCATTGGTCTGGAGCATAATGTCGTTGAATGTCTTATCTGTGATAAACCGGACACACTGTACCTTTGACATACTGCCAATCAATACTGGAATATACTTTTTAATGATAACACTGTTATTATTTATTACATTTTACAGTACTCATGTTTGTATGCTCTACTTCAAACAATATTTGAAATCAGTTTGCGAATCAATTGTATTTCTTATGATGAGCAAAATAAGGTTAAGAAAATGTCAGTGTTGCATCACAAGTTACAGAACAGTAGGAATGAGGAGCACAGAGCACAAGATAAGTGAACAATTGCTATACTAGCTAAATTAAAACAAAATCTCTAACTCCAGTATCAAAGAACAAGTATAAAATCTCTATCTTGAGCATAATTATATTAAAGAAGGAAAACATAATTTCTCTTTGCTTTAGAAACAATGCTAACACAATATGTTTTTATTCCCAGTGCCCTGGCCTCAACACTGATCCTCAGAGCACTAAAGTCGACCTCTTGGCAACAGCTACTGCCTATATCCTATCACCTCCAAATTAGCCTGGCTTTGATTTCCTGATGTTGTAATAGTCCTCTCTTAAAATAGTTGTTTTCTGCGTCAGTATTGAAGTCCCCAAAACAAACTCGGGATATCGGTGACAGCACAGTGGCTCCTCTGCGTCGGCACCGGGACGACTAAGGGGGGGTGGAGAGGGGGCAACAGAAGCAGACCCAGTGTGTTTGAGTGTATTTTCAATTGACAGCTGCATACAGTACGTGCTTCCGTTCACCATAGTTCTCGGTGTTGATGGATGTGGGAGATGAGAGCGAGAGAAGGGCTATCGGCGAACTGCAGATGCCGACAGGAAGGAAGCAGCAATGAGTGGGCTCTGAACAAACAAAAAGACGGGCTTGACTTTGTAATGTCATCATCAGGCCTATCAGAGTACAGTCTAATGGGCTGTCCGTGCATAATGACGTGCTAGGAGATGGCATCAGTCCACCCGTCGCTAGGATCATACTGCTGAGAATTGGCAATACTGGGGATTTGCTTGGGAACTGTTGGGTTAGGAAGTGGGATGCTGTTGTTGGATCGGTTATGGCTTTGAAATCCTGATTCTGTTGATGTAGATAGAGATGGGCAGATAGATGGAGAGACAGAAAGAAAGATAGAGAGAGATATATAGAGATTTATAGATAGGGAGATATATAGAGATTGAGAGATATAGGTAGAGATTTATAGAGAGAGAGAGAGAGAGAGAGATAGAGATTTATAGATAGGGAGATATACAGAGAGAGACTGAGAGATATAGGTAGAGATTTATAGAGAGAGAGAGACAGAGAGAGAGAGAGAGAGAGAGGTAGATACTTCATTGATCCCCATAGGAGAAAACACATTCACACAAACACATAAGTCATCAATTATAAATGTTTCTAACTAACTAACTAGATTAGTATAGAATATTAGTATTTCCAGTATTTTGTGCCGGTGCAAATACCTGCACAATCAACCAATAAATATATAAAGGAAAGATTTGTTGAAAAATAAAGTGCTTTCCAAAATAATTTTTTGTTTAATTAATTCAGCTGTGTATGACCTCAGGCCGTAAAAAAATGCTGAGCATAGACTTTAGCGTGACGCCCGCTCTCCTCCACTCACAGAACGAGGCTGCGTCCTCTAGCCTCTACAGCGCTGCTAAACACAGTAGCATGTTAGCAGAATTGGCTATAACTCCTCTTGCTGTAAATGCAGACACAGCAAAACAGCCCAAACCACACAACAGTGAGGAAGAGAAGAGGGAATTAAAGCGAAAAAATGAAGAAATCAAGCCCGGGTGAACATAGCTAGCTTACATTGTATCATCTGGAGAGACTCTGGAGAAAAAAATAAACTAACTAACTAACTAACTAACTTGTCTATGGGAGAGACCTGCGGGACCGCCTCAGACTATCTGCTCGGACTGTCTAGGCTCGGACTATCTGCTTGGACTACATTTGGACGTGGAACTAGTGGTAACCTTTCAGTTATATATTGTGTTAGCAGTGCGTTGCTTTTGTCTCATTTCATCAGTGATTGTTGTACAGCTGACAAGAAGTTGTGCTAATGCTTATGTTAGTATACATATCAGATCGCAAATAAAACTAGATGGCTCCGTGGAATGAGAGCGTAGGGGAAATGAGAAGCCTGTGAGCGAGTTGGGGGCGGGGCTAAACATTCAAACTTCGCAGAAACGGGTATAGCTCCTTTAAGTTCAATTTCAAATGAGCTCAACTTTTAAATCAGTAGAGCATGGATCTTAGTAAATAAACCCTTAGTAGAAAGAACACAGTGGCTGAGAGGATAGCACTCAGAGGTCATGGGTTCAAACCCCAGTAAGAACAGGCCCAACTGGTAGGCTCCGGCAGTCCTGATCAAGCTGAGCCTCAACATCTGGAGATGGGTTCTGGGTCGCTGCACAACAGTGACAACTCCTAGGGGTACAATATATTATAACTAACTATTTTTTGAGTAAAAAATAAACTAAAATATTGACATAAATATGACTTTTCAGGATTATCTCAGGGAAACTGATGAACAGTAATTGTTTGCATATCACACAGCCAGCGAGGATTGCCGGAGCGTACAATCCAGACAATCTCACATTCCTTCTAAGTGCGTCCCGTTGACTAACTTCCTTGAACCATTGGACGAGAACACGGGTCCTGGTTCATCCTTATACGGTCTGCGCAGCTGCCTGCTCTAAGACCGGGCTCAGACGCATCAGAGTGAGAGCTCCTGTCGCACGCTTCACAGAGAATCAATGTGCTGCCAGCTCACGGGAGGATTGGGCTTCAGTCGGATGTGTCAGAAGATGGAAACAGTCCAAAAGAAAATTGTATATGAAAAAAACACACATACACAAAACCCTAAAAGTGCACTTCTAAGCCATCTAACTGTTTTTCTGTCTGGATTGTTCCTCATTATGGCTTTCACAAGTTTTTGATCACTAAAATGTTGTATTATTAGTGAAAGCCAGATCCCATCAGACTTCTGAAGCTAAGCAGGGCAGGGCCTGGTTAGTACTGTGATGGGAGACCTGTGGTGCCACAGTGGGGCGGCTGCGGCTGTAAAATGCCAA